GGCCGGTGCTGAGAGGGCACAAAACAGAGGACACATAACTTGCTCTGGGTATTGGGGGGCCTCCAAGTCACCAAGGAGGCCACTGAAGTTGGAGCTAAGACAGGAAAGAGAAATTAACAGAAGTGAGTTTGGGGCAGAGGTCACAGTGCATGCAAAGGCCCTGAGGCTTGGGCGAGCTTGGTGTATTTAAGGAACACAGGAGGCTGCTCTGCATGTCTGGAGTGCAGTGGGTAAAGGAAGAGTGGAGACAGATGAGGGTTGGGCAGGGGCCAGATCACACAATGCCTATGGCCAGTGGGGAGGGACTAAGATTTTATTCTAGGTGAAGTTCAAGCTGTGGGAAGGACTAAGTAAGAAAGGAACATTCTGGCTCAGCACCTGTAGTTCAGCAGCTAGGGCGCCAGCTAGGTACACTGGAGTTGGTGGGCTCGAATCCAGCCCGGGCCTGCCAAATAACAATGAGAACTACAACCAAAAAATAGCTGGGTATTGTGGTAGGCGCCTGTAGTCCCAGCTACTTGGGAGGCTGAGGCAAGAGGCTTAAGCCCAAGAGTTTGAGGTTGCTGTAAGCTGTAATGCGATGGCATTCTACCCAGGTTGACAGCTTGAGACTGTCTCAAAAAAAAAGGGGGGGTCCAGGATATTATCTGACTTAAATTTATAAAAGATCCTCCAGGTGAGGTGGCTCACGCCTATAATCCTAGCACTCTGGGCAGCCAAGGCGGGTAGATATTCTGAGCTTAGGAGTTGGAAACCAGCCTGAGCAAAAGCAAGATCCTGTCTCTACTAAAAATAGAAAAAACTAGTGGGGCATAGTGGCGCACACCTGTACGGAGTCCCAGCTACTCTGGAGGCTGAGGCAAGAGGATCTTTGAGCCCCAGAGTTTGAGCTTGCTTCAAACTATGATGCCACAGCACTCTACCCAGGGTGACAGAGTAAAACTCTGTACCCCCAAAAAGAAAATTTATAAAAGATCTTTTGCAATAAGTTGACTGATGTCCCACCCAAATTCATGTTCACCTGAGACCTCAGTATGTGATCTTATTTAGACGTAGGTCCTTTGCAGATGGAATTAGTTAAATTAAGGTTGAGGACTGAGGAAATAGCTAGCTGGGGTAGAATCCAGGTGGGAAATACCAAGTGCTTGGGTGGGGAGGAGTGATAGATCCATAATGAGTGCCAGGAGCAGAACCAGTAACATCAGCTATGTACACATAACTAGCACTGTGCCTCATCTGCACTGAGTGCTCACTCAAAGTCAACACACTTGGCTTATTCTATACCAGACTCAGTCAATGGAGGAGGGAAACCCCTGTTCACTCCCACTACACAGGGCCCCTACCTGCCAGCATCCTGGGAGATCGTCACTGACACATCCAGGCCCAGCGTGGTGACTCTCTGGCACACAGCATCCATGTCGATGATAGAGTCAATGCTTTCAGGACCGTCCTCCACACAGCACTGGGAGCCAGGGCAGAAGCGGCAGTTGTCCAGGCCCTTGTAGCCCTTGTTGTGCCCACATTTCTCCAGTGTGACTGTAGTTGCCATGCCCGACACCCCCACGTGCACCACCAGCTGCAGATAGGCAGGCAGGACTTAATACAACCTGGGCGTGGGACAAAGGGTCCCTCCAGGCCAAGCAGTAGGTGCCATGCTCACTGAGCTCTACCTGGGATTACATCATTTTTAACCTCTTGCTGTTAGAATAGACCCTAGGGCCACTCTTGCAAAAAGGTATGGCCAAGTGCAATAGGTGAAGATTTGAAACATGCAAGATTATTCATTGTAGCGCTTGTCATTGCAATAAAATACCAGAAACAACCCAACTAGCTATTCATGGTTAGTTGGCTCAATAAATAATGAACTATAATGTAGCTGTTAAAATGTCCAAGGGAGGGTGGTGCCTGTGGCTCAAAGGAGTGGGGTGCCAGCCCCATATACCAGAGGTGGTGGGTTCAAACCCAGCCCCAGCCAAAAACTGCAAAAAAAAGAAAGAAAGAAAGAAAGAAAAGTCCAA